AGGCTGAGATGGAATGTTTAGAAAAGAAGAATCCAAATTCCATTAATTCAAATCTCCATTAGCCACATAATTTTCGACTTGTATTATAGTCAGATTACAACAGTGAAGACTTCTTTCTGTCATGAAACCCTTGCTCCTTACCAGGGATCCTGTAGTTTAGGGCTGGGCAACCATTTTTTTTCTATTGAAAGCTAATCTCCTTAAGAATAACCTACAGAGATATGTACCTGCTTTAGACTCTGTAGGTAAAGCCAGAGTCTAAAGCAGGCAAGAAATCCTGTCTACTTCTGCAGCCCTCTTCTGTCTCTTCCTCGAGAGAGGGATAAAGAGAGAACTCACGAAGGAGAGGGAGGACTGCGGCAGGTACAACAGAGTGGAGTCACATGTCCCTTCATGCTCCTGCAACCTTCAGGTAGAGCCATCCTGACATTTCAGAATTATGTTTGAGGATATTTTGCATGATCCCTTGCTGATGCTTAACTTTCATTATTCGCCACCTCTTTCTTCTTAAATATATAGAGCTTTTAAGATCAAATTTAAAATTTGCAATTGATCTTATTATACAGTGACTCGTGATGAGAGAAAAAGGAGTAGGGCGGGAAAGTGCAATAACAGAAACAGTTGCTAGATGAAGAGCAGAACAGCAGGTGGGCGTTGACATCAACAAGGTTTACAGGTGTTCTTAATGGGTGTTCCACATTTTTTTCCCATTAGAAGATGATTTAAAGCAGCAAGTAAGTGGGTGGAATCAAAGCAAATCAGCAACTGCATTTCAAGGGCATCAGCCAAGGATGCTCTGGGAACAATAATCTGAAACACTGCTCACAAAGTGAGACTTCCCTGACAGGTGTGACTGCCAGCATTGGGAATGAAAGCACGAAGTGAGCCACAAGCAGAATTTATGCAATGAGGTTATGTCTATGAGGCAAGAATGTTATGATACCGTCATGCTACTCAAACAGAAGGTAGGAGAACTCTCAGACAAATATTCCAGCCTTTCAGAAACTGTGGATCTAGTACCGGACCTAGATACAAGGCATCAAAAATATTTTGATACGATTTGAATACAATTGGTATTCAAATCATCCCAATTAATTGAAAAGAGAGACAATGCAATATTGAAGTCAGAGAGGTAAAAAACCTAGCAGGTGTATTGGATACAGGAATTTGGTTACTAAACCTATTGTAAGACCAACTGCCTGAAATGTAACGGACTTATGAAGGCATTGTCTATGTCCACAGAACAGCCCCAGCCAGACCTCAGGCAAGCCGGGGTCCGTTTTTAATAGGAAGACTAAAACCAACTAAAACACACAGCTTCCAGAATATATGCTCCAAGATAGTAAAGGGGTGTAAGACTTTTTGAAATACTATAGAATCACCAATGCACAAGGGCATATCAAGCCATTTTGGACACCCAGCTAATTTGTCAGCTATGGAGGGAGCATGCACCTGCTTTCCATACAATTAATGACAAGACAAATAAGACCTAGGAGGACATGATCCTGAACACACCAGTGGTCTGGAAAGAAGACACTAAGTAATAACATTAAGTGGAATTGTCCTTCACAGTACAAGGTAAATGAGTTAGGTGTCTTCAGTGAAACTACTTACTTTAAAACTCTTCAATAGGTCCGCAGCCTAGGGGTACACCTGGACCTGACGCTCACCATGGAAATGCAGGTGGCGTCGGTAGTCTGCATCGCCTTTTCCACCTTTGGCGGATTGCCCGGCTGCGACCTTACCTAGACATGGGGGCGCTCACTACCTTAGTACATGCGCTCGTAATCTCTAGATTAGACTACTGTAATGCGCTCTACGTGGGGCTCCCTTTGAAGCTGATGCGGAAACTTCAGGTGGTACAGAATGCGGTGGCCAGACTCCTTACTGGAGTGAGAAAATACCAACATATCTCTCCTACTCTGGCCATGCTGCACTGGCTGCCCATCCGTTTCCGCATTGACTTCAAAGTATTAATGCTTACATATAAGGCCCTAAACGGTTTAGGACCCCAATACTTGGTGGAATGCCTGCTCCCAACTAGATCTACTCAGATCACCTGCATGAGCCAGGAGGTGAGGCTGAGGAGCCTAACACTGAGGGAGGCCTGGAAGGAAAGGACACAAAACTGGGCCTTCTCGGCGGTAGCTCCTCGCCTCTGGAATAACCTTCCTCCGGTTATTCGTGCAGCCCCTACGCTGGGCACTTTTAAGAGCCAACTAAAAACATGGTTGTATGTTCAGGCCTTCCCTCCTGTCAATATTTAATTCTTTCTTTATTTTTTCTTTCATTTATTACAGTGGACCCTCGACTTACAGACGGCTCGACTTACAGACTTTTCGAGTTACAGTGGGGTCTCTACTTCAGAACGTCCCTACTTAAGAACAATCCAACTTAAGAACAGCTCCATTTGCTAAATTTTGCTTCTACTTGAGAACAGAAATCCAAGATAAGAACAGGAAAAAACCCCTTTCCTGCTCTTTTTTTAACCTTAGGTCATCTTAGGTTAAAAAAAATTCTCCCCCTAGTGGTAGAATACGTATTAACCAGCTTTGCATTAGTTCCTATGGGAACTAATGCTTCAATGTACGAACGCACCTCTACATAACAAAAAAAAACAGCCAGAACGGATTAATTGGTTTTCAGTCCATTCCTATGGGAAATTTTGCTTCAACTTAAGAACGTTTCAACTTAAGAACACCATTCCAAAACGGATTAAGTTCTTAAGTAGAGACCCCACTGTACCTCTAATGGTGTTAGCTATAAGGAACATTGTCACTGATATCTGTGGCATTTATTTTATTTATTTAATTTATTTATTTGATTTTTACCCCGCCCCTCTAGACCATGTCTACTCGGGGCAGCTTACAAAATGAAACAGAACAGTATAAAAATATATAAAATCATAAAATTACAATTACATTTATTTTGCTCCATGTCTAACTCCTTCATCACCTTCACCCTATCAGCAAAGGTCAGAGTTCACTCTAGTGTCAAATGTTTTACAGTTTCTAAGCTTGTTTAAAGGTTGGATTGGCCTTGGATTTTGGATAAAGGAAGAGAGAGAGAAAGATGGGTTCCACCTAATGGGGAAGAAATTATAGTGGTGCCTCATATAACGAGCACCCCGTTTAACGACGAATCCGCATAGCGATTCATTTTTTGCGATCGCAAAAGCAATCGCATTGCGATGTTCCCTAAGGGGAAAAATCGCTTTGCAATTTTTCCCATAGGCCCCCAGCGGGTGCTGCTTTGCCGCCGCTCAGAAGCACTGGCCGGCATATTCGTGGCCAGCGCTTCCGAGCGGCCTCGGGGGAGGGCTCCTCCACCGCCGCTCGGAAGCGTTGGCCAGCATTTTCGCGGCCAGCGCTTCCGAGTGGCCTCGGGGGAGGGCTTCTCCACTGCCGCTCAGAAGTGCTGGCCAGCATATTCGCGGCCAGCGGTTCTGAGCGGCCTCGGGGGGAAGGCTCCTCCTCTGCCGCAATATATGCAAGCAGGGAGCCGCACATATATAACTTATCTTGTAGTGGATTATAAACCTTTTACATGTTTTACATGTTCTGGGAAACCTATTCCAGTATTTCTAATATGCAAGTACATTTCAAACCTAGCAGTGGAGGTAGGGACTTCTGACTGCAGACTGTTTCAGACAGTAGAAGCATCCTGGCTGTGCATACCAGTTGGGTTGAGGCCCATGAAATCAATTGTTTCATGCAATGCAGAGGCCTAAATGCTAATACTTTGTCCTCTCTCCCTCAGTTACACATTAATGACTGTGCTTTGGGGCCATAGAATGTTTACAAAAGTTTTTGTCTACAGTGGTGCCTCGTATAATGAGTGGCCCGTTTAACGATGAATCCGCATAGCGATAGCTTTTTTACCCTGCCCCCGCCGCCGCTGAGAGCCTTCCGAGCTCTCAAAGAGCTTTCTCCAATGTCGTGGGGGGAAGCCCTTTGAGAACTCGGAAGGCAAATGTCAGTGGTCGGAGGTGGCTTCGGGATCCTTCCAAAGCCACCGCCGACCGACTGCTGACATTTTCCCCCAGCTGAGTGGTGGGGCTTCGAAGCTCCCGCCGCTAAGCTGGGGGAAAATGCCAAAGGCCCCATTTTCGGCCAGCTTATCGGCGATTCCAAAATGGCCGCCCGCTGTGTTGCCTCGCTTTAGAGGCACCGAAAATGGCCGCCCCTATGGAGGATCTTTGCTCAACGGTGAGTTTTAAGCCCATAGGAACGCATTA